AGTCTTGTAGTAAGCATAAACAGCTATGCCGGTATTGATTTAATTCAGTTGAATAGTATCGAAACGGGTAAAGAACTCACTGTTGCTGCAACTGAAAATACAGCTCATACACACTGGTACAGCAGCAATTGGTTTTTTGGTCTGATAGGTTTGCTTATTGGTTTACTTGTTATGTTTTTCATCAATAAAACCCGGAGCAGAAAAATTATCGCTACGGCAATTATTCTTTTTTGTCTTCTGCCAACAGCCACTTATAATTCAGTGTCTGCACACGATGGTCACGATGAAGCTGGCGCTAAAAAGAGCGGAGGTTCATCCACAATATTTATGGTAGAAAAAGAAACACAATTTCTTTTCAATATACAAACCCAAAAGATCGGTACAGGGGATTATAACGAGTCATCTGTTTTATTAGGAACTGTAACAGCGGCACCACAAGGAAGAGCGGTAATACAATCACCCCAGGCAGGTAAGATAGTTTCGCTGAGGGTTGCACCTGGTCAACGGGTTGGCAAGGGCCAGGTAGTGGCGGTAATAGAACAACAGGTGGATGCCGGAACACAGATCAGTATCATTTCTCAAAGCAACTCAGTTAATGCAGAATACGAAGCAGCCAAAGCTCAGTATGAAAGACTGAAAGCTATTGAGGATATCGCTGCCAAAAAAGATATAACAGAAGCAAAAGCCCGGTACGAAAGTGCTAAAAGAAACAAAGCCCTCTTTGATGCAAATACAGGCAGAAATACCGGCAATACTAAAGCAATAACTCTTACATCACCTGTTAGCGGTGTGGTAGGCACTTTTAATTATGCAATAGGCGCAGTAGTGAGTGGCGGCGAAACACTGTTTGAAATAACCAACCTTGAACAGGTATTTGTAGAAGCACAGGTATTTACTACGGATGTTGAGAAAATGAAATCAGCTACAGCATTTACCACTACCAGCAACACTGATACTGCTACCTACAAATTGAAAATGGTTAGCACAGCACAAGCTGTTAATGCCGGTAATCAGTCGCAAAAAGTAGTTTTTGAACTTATCAATCCCAAAGGCCAGTTTAAAATTGGTGAAAACATAAATGTGCGGATGACAGGAAGTAGCGTGGCAAGACAGGTGATAATACCCAACGAAGCCATTGCAGAAGTAAATGGTAAGCCTGCCATTTTTATAAAAGATAAAGCAGAGCAATATAGCATCAGCTTTATTGTGAAGGGAGAAAGCAATGACAAATTTACTGTTGTCACTAAAGGAACAGAGGATGGCGAAAGGATTGTTACAGCAAATGTGTATCAAATGAAAATGATGTATTTAAATCAATAATTAAAAAAACAAACAACATGAGAAAATTAATAATGATGTTCCTGCTGCTTTCACCTGCTATAGCAGCCTTTGCACAAACAAACGACAAAGAAGCGGTAAAGAATGTATTGAACAACTACAAAAAAGCAATTGAAAAACTGGACACTACAGGTGTAGTAAACCTGTTTGTAAAAGATTCGAAAGTATTTGAACAGGCCAAAGATGAAGGCACCATTGGGCATTACCTGGAGCATCACCTGGGACCAGAACTGAAAGATTTTAAGTCTTTCACTTTTAGCGATTACAAGGTAGATGTGATTGTAACAGGCGACTACGCTTTCTCAACAGAAACTTATATCTACACTATCATTCTTGCAAAAGATGGTAAAGAAATCAAAAGCCAGGGTGTAGCCACTTCTGTATTAAGGAAAACCAAAGAAGGCTGGAAAATTATACAAACACATTCGTCATTCAGAAAAGCGAAATAATATTCATTTCAAATGTCAAAAACCAAATAAAATGAAAGCAACGACAACGTTTATGAGTTTGATAGCCATCGCAGCTATCGCTTTTGCTTCATGTAAAAAGAAACATGACATGGATGCTATGGAGGAAAAAAATATCAATTACCCTGCTGCTTATGTAGTGAATGGAGAAAGCAGTACGATCTCTGTTATTAAATTAAGCAACAACACACTTTCAGACAG